ATATTGATTTTAGCTAGCTGAGTGGATAATTAGATGTTAGTAGGCTATTATGTTATAATTTCGAATATTGGATAACTAATTCGGTTCATACTACTTTTGCGTAGGCGATGTTGTTGGCATACCAGTGGTGGCCACCATACCCATTGAAGGCGACGGTGCAGTTAACACAAAGAGGCCATGATCGACATGCGTTCACTTTCCTACAGCATCTACCAGGACTCTGTAAACCAAGGGTAGGAGAAAGAGAGTCAAAACTTAGTGCCCAAAAGTTTGTTAATACTATGATAAACACTTTTTGGTGGTTGTATACTAAATGACTATAGTAGAGACAATTCTCTAGGACTTTGATTATAAACAGACTTTGATGATTGTATATATATGTGCTTATGCACCTTCGTTGAACTCGACGACCATTGATGAGGCCAAAATTTGCGTACATCATCGGCTATAATTATTTATTGTAGTTTTGTCATAGATTCATATGGTAACATATGTATCGAATGTTGTGCAACAACATATCCCTTATACATCTCATTTGTAGTCAAATTTACAACCAACTGTTGAGAATGATAGGAACCTTTTGTAGGGACAGGCAGTTTAACTTTCGGGATGTGATGAAATATTTCGCATGTGAACTTAAACATGACTAGTGTCTTCAAACTGTAATGAAACATCAGTGACAATATAACTACAGCAACAGCTGTTATAACCCATTCCATTTAGTCAATATCAAAAGTTTGACTTGTCAAAGTCAAAGTCTAAAAAAGACTTAAATTGAGGAAAGTTGAACCCTTTTTTTTTTTTTTTCATTTTCATATTCATACACACACATAGGCAAATGGATAAACATAAGCTGGGATCTGAAGCTGATGTCCGAAAAAGTCCGAAAAAAAGAGTGGAAAAAGAAAGGAAAAAGAGAAGGAGAAGAAAAGAGGGGGAAAAAGTAAGAAGAAGAAGAAGAAGTTAGTGTTGATTTCTTGAAGCATGGGTTCAATTTTTCTATTTTTTTTCAAGAGATAAGAAATAATTTAGGTTGAATTTTCTAGGGTTCCAAGTAATTGGTTTAATTTTCAGATTGAGGGAAAGAGTATTATTTCAAGCCACTATTTTGATATGGGAAGGAAAAGTAGTGATTATCTTCCATCAGCCAATTTGAAAAACATAGAACAATGAGTAATGGTTGAGATTTTGGGCCTGTTATTTATTCATTAAGGAATTGGACGAATTGGCTTGTAATTGAACAAGTGCCTCACTTCTCAGGAAATAATAAAGAGATAGGAATAGCTTATCAATCAAGAAAATCCCCATCCAGTTCATAGCCAGAGAGGGAAAAGTTTT